GAATAGAAGCGATCAAAGCTAGCAGGTTAGTCTATTAAAAATATGTAGATGCCCCATAACGGGGTGACTCTTCCTACTAAAAAATTGAGGAGTCTGATTAGAGGAAATTGGGGCCGCTGAGCAAAATTATTCTAGAAGCTGTAGGTCAGTCTTCGTAAGAGCGAGGTGTTGTGACTAACATCTGCTTTTAAAATCAGGTATAAATTCTCGGCCAACCAAATTAAGAAATTGTCATTTCTCATTGTTGAAAACATACTGGGTTAAGACTGCACACTATGTAAAATCAAGGAGTGACATCCTTTGTAGTTAAAGTTCGACAGAACTGAGAATGTAAGTCACGGTTCTGAAATTTAATTGACGCAACTTGTTTGTACCATTTGTCTCTCTAGCTGGGTAGATGTTCTTTGGACGATATACACCTTTTTTCCCCGAGCGGTTAACTTGAAACGTTTAAAATAAAGAAAATATCCTAGCTTAATCGAAAACACCGAATATATACTCCTGGATCTCGTTTATATAATAACCTTGATCAGTTTACTCACTGAACGCAGTTTTTGAGGCGACGTTCATCGGGTATCAACCGACAGATGATTCATTATGACAGAGTTGTCATGCGCAACGGGTGTTATAAAACATTTAAATGCGCATAGAAAAGTTTTAAAGTCCACCTTTCCAATAATTGTGCCATCCTCCATTAGACAATACGGGAGGCTATGAAAGGTAGAAAAAGCTCATATTTTATGATAAAGTTATATCTTTAACTTTCAGGAAACATCCAATGGGTACAATGGGGTAGTGTTATTTCCATTCACTCATTATGCGCTACTACATTTGGATCTTTGAGTAGCTCTTACCAATTGCATTATCTTTTCCTTGACCTCCTCTCTACACTCTCTAGTACTACCCTCTAGATGACATGCTTGAAAGAACAAAGGAGCATAATATAGTCCACCAGTCTGGAGCTAAATTTACGGCAACAATTAAGGAAAAAAATCTGCATTTATCTCATATGTTGTAAAATAATCCAAGAAGTATTCCAAAATATCGTCTCTGTTTGTTTCTTATACTGAGGTTTTCTAACTCATTTAATTCGCCAAGTATTCGAAATTTCCCATCTCCACTTGACGGCAGTTAAAACTAGTTAAAGCACATTTGCGGACTGTCTTACCTAAATAAAACGTATGAGTTCTCCTGTGATAAGAGAATATAAACTGCTCTTGCCTGTGATAAGTAAACCAAACAACCAAAGTCATGAAGGCAACTCGCCTCTTTATTTGCATAGCTAGATGAAGATCACTCAAAATTTAATGGTTTTCCATCGGTACCGATAATAGAATACAAGGAGGTTACTTAGTGAAATTGTTCGGATATTAAATGTTCACAAATCAAAATATTCATGCTCCTTTTAACCTAACGTAGTCAGCAAGCTAATAGGGATTTCATGACAAACAAAAAGTTAGGAGGGGTGGTTGCTCGTCACTCCTCTTTTACACCTTCTCAAATATTTAAGTAAAGTAATCACAAGCCGGCTCGTAATTAAAAAGTGGCTTTCCATTAATGTTCGCGCAAAGTAAATCGACACCAAATCCATAGAGGAAAGTTTGCGATATCGATGGCAGTGGGTGAAGATATGCCGAGAAAGTTCGGCACGCTAAGGAGACTTTCAAAAGAGAGCTATATAAACAAAAACCGCGGTTTATTTTGCCGCACGAGTTTAAAGAAACAATTTAATGCTAGTAGCCGTTGTCTATGCTAACGGAAAAGTTGTAGCAGAACTGTTTAGGAAAACGGGAATGAAGTCTGGGCACTGCTCCTCAGCTAGGAAAGGGCAGAAAATTACCGAAAAAATTATGAGACAAAGAAATCTCTAAGTGTTAGGAAAGCGCTTCCATCGACCTCTTCTGATGACAGCCAGACTTTGTCGGTGTTAAGCAATGAGTTTGCGGATGAAATTGCCGCGTCAGTCAATAACACTCTTTAACAAGGATACAACCAATACAGTAACAATTTCTCTGAAACAATTTCCTCCCTCGCCTGAGCGGAGATCGTAAAGATACTACTCTCGTCGTGAGCTAAAGCATCTTTTTCGTCCAGCAAATGTTTTGTAGATTTCTGTTTCTCTTTCTTAAACGCGCTCCTTTCAGTATCGAAACAGCTTTCTGTATACGTCACGAACAGCTTTAGGAAAAGAAAAATCTTCAGATTAGCAAACTGGTCTCTCGGTTTCTAACAAGACTCACTTTACAACCATTAATAATTTGTTTCCGACCACGCCACGCCGAGTCATTCTCTTCATTCGGTGAAAACAGAACTTAGAAATGTAAGGACGTCATCTACGTACTATAATGAGCATCAATTGGCTACATTATGTCAGCAATTAAAAATTCCTGAAAGAGTGATTTTCGAAGGCCTTGAAATAAAGCAAGCTGAATAAAGTCGCCTCTGCAATTTTGACGCCACGTCATCTGGATGGGTAACAACAGATCAGAGAAAGCACTACCTTTGGGTAAACTGACAGTAACTAAAGCAATGCAAAAAGCGCCCTAAAGAAGTAATAAGATACCTCGGTTAACTTGATTTGTCTCTTAATAATAATAAACTCAGCATGAGGGAAGTTTGAATAGAAAATAGCGAAAAATAAAAAAATGGACTAGGTTAGATGTGAAATATGATATACTGAGGGGAAACGGGACGAAATGACTCTTTGGCCGGCGTGAGTTCTAAGTTAGCTCGTGTAGGTTGATCACCTGATTAGTTTTGATCATTTTAAACTCCTTTGTGCCGGTTTACACAGATTGGACTAACTTGAGGTGAGGTTCGAAAATAACTTTTACCCTCAGTTGTTTATGCCGCTCTTTTGAAGCAGTAAAAAGTTTTGTAAAGAGCCTTAATTTACATTCAAGCTCTATCTTTATTCAGTCGATTTCATCCGCTGTATCAATCAAGACTTTTAGGATGTGGATGTAACACTTCAACCTAACTCGTGCCTGCAAATGCATTTACTGTCAACATAAAATCAAAAATACCAGTACGAAATTAATCTTCTGCTAAAGAGTAAATGTGAATTATGCAGTTTGAATAGCTATGCTCAATCAATTAACATTCGTCTGTATTTCAATGTCGAGGTGAAATGTTGTGAATGTTATTTAGAACGAATTGCACCCAGCAGTAACTCTGTACAAAAGGGATCTTAGACTTCTGGCTCCACTTAACTGTGTGCACAGCATGAACTGACCAAAAGAGTATCACTCATAGAGCCATCTAACGACCTCTGTCTTAAAGTGTGTTGAATTTCCTACGTTCCTACCCCTCATTATTCAACAAGGAACGATAATTTGATAATGACTAATCATCATATCCTGTCACTTCTGACACTTCCTTTAAGGATCAATCGTCCTATTTGTTATCTTTTTTATTGGTGCTTTTCAAGCTGATAGAAACGGTTTAGGGCCCTTGGTGGTCTTTTATTGAGCGAGTATAGTTTGAGTTATTTTAAATGTTTTATCGTACTTAAAAAACATGGCGGTTCATCTCTAACCAGTCACAAGGTGGAAGAAATCGATGCTATCGGAGACCCACGTCAATGAGGGATTTCCTTTCGCAGGCATTCATTTTAAGTAATCAAAAGACATTATGATACCTACACACTGGCTTTACCGTTGAGCCAAGACTCAATGATTGAAGTCAGCAAATACAATGAGTTTAATTCTATGGTTAAAAAGACAGATTTTTATTTTCGTAAGCAAAATTAGCCTTGTTTGCTCAGCGTGGGTATTTCGGCCTCTTGTTTATTGAAAAAAAGGGGCTGGAGTTACTATGTCTTGAGTCTCTAACGTCTCTCACTCCGAGAAACACTTTGATTAAAGTTTACTAAAGAACCCCAAAACAAACGAATGTTAACATTCATAAACTGCCACTGTCAGTATAATATCAGCTCACCAAGAAAAGACCTACTTATCCCACTATTTCTCCACGCTAAAACTAGCTTTCAGAGCTACTTCAGTGCCGTAAAAGCTTGCGGTAAGCCGTCGTGTGAAACCCTATTTATTATTATTATTATTTTTTTTTATAGAAAAACAGCTTCAATCTCCCTTCTCGGTTGTCAAGCCGCTCTTACTCCTCACAGATTTGACGCACCACTTAAACTGCATTGCAAAAACTTCTTGTTATTGCATTCGGAACGTTTTGCAAATGTGAATTATTCCTTTATTGTGAAAGAAAATTGTGGCAAAACAACAATTTGGTTTGATGTTATCCTCAGCATGAGTTCTTGTCATAAATTTGCAAGACAGAACAATCACTGGTATTTGCATTTTTATGTCAACAAATATTTTAATATTCTGAGCAAGTCAGTCTTGCGTTTGCCTTTTGTTTTCTCCACCACAAGGCTCTCGTCGAACGTCATGATTATTGCTGCCTTTTTTTCAGAATAAGGCTAGGTAAAATGGAATATTTTAACTCGAAAGAGGGCATTAATTATAGATCTGCTAGAGATTTACATCTCCCAAACGAATTTCGAGTTTTACTTTTCAGTAGCAGTTGACAAAACTGAAATAATTGATTTCAAATTTTAGAAACTACTTTTTCAGTAAAAATCAGTATTTTAGTAAAAGGAAAAGTATGAAATGAAACAGAATCCTTGAACAACAAACAGATCATAAGCATTTCAATACCAGAAAGGAAAAAAAAATGAATCTGCGTTTATTAAAAGCAAGAACTCAAAGAGAACTGATAGAGCTAAATCTGTGTCGAGCCCTCTTTGTTGCGAAGCAGGAAGGAAATTATCTACTAAATCGGATTTTCTCTTTCGCCTTCTTGTTACCATAGTTGCGTATCTTACACCTGTCTCACGAAGTCTATTTCTTGCTATTCGTTCATTACTTGTCTTGAGCGGTAATCTTAAGAAACAATTTGACAGTTCACCAGAAATGACTTGTTCCTGTCATATTTTTTTCCGTCAACTTGTCGTGCTTCCTGCGTTTACAACAATCTCTCTTGTTGCCAAACCGCAATACTTTAGTGCTAGAGTGAAATATCGTTCGTCCTCCATGAAGATGAAGATCACAAAAAGGTTGTGATGTATTCCCTTTAACTGTAAACAGAGCGACACACAACAGGTAGTCTTTTGGCAGTGCAGATTGTAATGACCTGACCAATGAAAAGTGAGCTCGTCGTTACCCTTAAGGAGGTTATAATGTTACAGCTAGCTTAAGTTTGAAGATATTTAAAATGTAAAAAATGATGCTGGTGTTCTGATTGGTCTCTCATATTTAGATTGTCAATATAGTATGCAGGTTTTATGGAAGTTTTCGTTTCTTAATGTCAACAAAGTGTGTTAGTGTTTTCATCAATTATACTACGCTTTTACTTTGCAGCTGGCTTTTGACGCCAAGTAATCAACGATCAACGAACATAAAAGACATCGCAGCTTTCGTTTCTGTTAGGTAGGTCCAGCTCTGTACCTTCCTCTCTTTGTGCAATTTTTATCGGAAAACAAAGGCTGTGTGCGCATGAAAATTGAAAATCCTCAATTAGCAGGAGTTATGTTTTAGTAGTATTTCGTATGCCAGCCCAATTTAAGTTTTCAACTTTGTCAATTATCGATTTTAATGAATTTCGCTTTTATTTTCATGCTGCAGTTGGAATTAAAACGAGGAAAACATAGAGAGCATGTTCTGTGAACCCATCAGCCAAAAAGCTGAGATTTCCAAAGAATATGAATATATATTGTAGAAAGCAAAATATCCCTTCCAGATAACTGCTCAACCTTACCATTGTCGTGCAATGAATACATTTCGGTAAACCAAAATTCACAAAATAAATGAAAAGCAAATATATGACAACTGTAATACAACATGGCTTATAATCTAAAGCAAATAATTTTAACCTTTATCATTTATCTTCCTCGGCACGACAGTATGTACGAATCATCGTTCTGAACCAACGGGAAATCGCGATGATAAGGAAAAACTTTCACCCAAGACACTAATTTGTAATGAAATGACAAGTTAACAAAATTGCCATCGCGTTTTCCTTAAAAAAGTATTCTACGTTTCTCAAAAAAACGTTGACACTTGCTAACTGCCACCGAAATGGACGGTTCAGTCAAAAAACCTAGTAACGCTTGTCTTTTTTAATTGAAAAGTATTATCTGTATTTATGTGTAAACTTAATGAAGCCCAGTTTTCAATAATTTGACAACGGTTAATGCTTTATTGATGTTACTTCCAACGAGCGCCTATGAATGCCATTTCGTAAATCTGCACGTCAAAATAAGATGTTGCTTACTTTTTATTCCAAACAAGAAAAGATTAATTCAGTCGGATAAGCTCAATAATCATTTCACTTCAACCGTCAACTTGCAGCCGGAACTCGACTGGAACTAAAGTTACCTCAGCTCATGACCACTGGTCTGGACACACCGTTTAGACATTTTTTCGGTTCCAGTTTCTCTTAAGCTGCACAAACGATCGAATGGTGTTTACAAGGAGTAGTGCCAATGAGAACATGAGGGACTTGGATCTACCCGTACATTGTATAAAATTATGTCGCCATGTCAAATGAACAGATTGATGTAGGCATCTTCTATATGCTGAAGACGTCAGGCTTTCAGACAACAGTAGAACCTCTCCTTTGGGACATTTTTTTCTTTTTTCCCGAAGCTCGGTTTTAACCTGCATTCAGCCTTAGCTACTCAAAACGTAGGCTGACGCCAGGATGATGACAGCTATCACAACGTGTCCTTTTAAACTCGTGAATTGCGCGCATACGCAAAAGCGGGTTGTAGATATGATATGGAGAATGGCACTCGCTCGCTCGATTGGTCGATTCCTGTAAACTTTTTTTCGATTTTTTTTCTAGCTTTTGAGTGAATTTGATAGTTTTTGGCGAGTAATAAACAAACGGAATGGCGATCTTTGTTGCTAAGAATAGTGGGGTGAAAAAGAAGCCAATGATAATCTTAAAAGAGTTTTTTTTTTTTCGTTTCAGTTTCAAAAAGCGGCGCCAGCGACTGGCAGGCGTGCGAGGATTCATTCTGAAATAAGAGAACAACCTTCGTTTTTCATAAAACTGTAATTTACAATCCTTGAACTTGAAAACAATCCAAAGATTCATTAAAAATATCACTTACTCCGAAGCGCTCGGAGTTTACAGGTGTTGAAAAGCTTTTTCTGTAATGGCGTGAGATTGGGGACAAAAATCGATTATTGCATTTCGTATCGTGTGTTTTTTCTGTGTGACGCAACAGAAGGTGCCGGCGAGTGACGAAATTACAGGTTAACACGAAATTCAGATAACACCTAAACAAATAATTTTGGCTACCGATTTTCAGTGAATTTTTAAAGAACAATTTTCTTTTAAGTTTTAAGACAATTTGAAGATTCAAAATAAATATTACTTACTAAAATGCGAAAGTCACACACCACAAAATTGATAAATGGGCCTGAAATGAAATTCTATCTTGTTGTTGATTATACGTTGCCTAGCACGTGACCAAAATCTACTCAGGCGAAAATCCAAAATGACAGTGGAAGTCTGGGCTTAGTTATATCACTCAAAACTCGTTCCCGTTTATCTCATTTGGTAAAGAGGGAATTACTGTTTTCATTAAGACAGTATTACCTTGATTTTCCAATATTTACAATGATAGACGATAACTTTCACTTTTCACCCACATTTACTTCCAACCTTTTCTTTTGAACCAGACACAAAAACGATATATGTTTAAAACATATGACATCATCCACCCATTTCAAATGTAATAGCATGATCATTTTAATTGTAATGCCGTCTTATCCCAACGTTACTTTGTTTCTTTGCTACATTAGCGAACACTGAACTACTGCTCGTACTCTAAATATGACAATCAACCACAAAATTCCCTAAACCAGATAACATTAAACATAATACAAAAAATCATGCAAGTCATCTGTCTATTCACGAGTTTACTCCCAGAGCACTTTGATTAATACCGTACATCATTTGATAGCAGATGTAACTTGGTTTCCAAAGGTTCCATGTTCTCGTGATTTCTTCCGGAATCAAAGCGTCAGTCCATAAGTAGTTTCAGTTCACGAGTGACAAAGGCGTTAAGGTAACAGATACATTAATTCAGCAGATCCACTTCTAATCATACTGAAAAACGAGGCAAAATTTGTATTTCTGCACCTAAATGATTTCGGAGTCCTTCGCAAAATAAAAGTGGAGTCGCCTCCGCCGGGAAAAGCCCCAAACCTTATTTCAAGAGAAGCCGATATACATAGTATACCAACATCGAACGGAAAGTTGCCTACATTAAGCGTTTTTTTTTTTTTTCAAATTAAATCTTATTTATAAGTTATTCCGACAGCCGTAACTAATTTCCAATGCTAATTCATCCTACTCATCTCGCTGAGTTTTGGAAACTGAATACGGTTCTTTCCTATGGGAAAACATTTTTCTGTCATCTTTTCCGTAAATATTCGAAGTTTATCCCGTTGTTTTAGGAGTCCTTCATTTCACTACCATCTCAACTGGCTTGTCGGAAGAACTCTTCGTCATTAATATAGCAAAGAAACTCTAAAAAACCGATGAAAGTGATGAGGGAAACTAAGAGAGACTTCAAATTGCAAGGTAAAACCTGAGAGCTAGCGTGACATTCAGTAATCTAACAATGATCCAACAAACACAGCAATACAGAATCCAGCTGTGAAGAGAGTCATGTAAATAAATAAGCTTTGACGTTTCGATAAAATAGAACTTTTCACGTTTGTCAGATAAAAGAGAATATTGACATTAGGGCTCAATAACCTTATTTTCGTTGAATTTTTCAGAACGGTAATTTTAAGGGCCAAGATCCATTACAAATAACTCACCGAAAAAAAGATTTAACAAAAGGAATCCGCGCAACAACCAAGGTTTAAACCTTTGTGTATTCGTTGCACATTAGGTTTCTTTGTCCGTACGTAAATTACCCGTGAATCGATTGGCAAATCATGCAAATTTGGAGCGAATGCTTCTAGTTCGCTGTTTAATTAGTTTCACCTCGATGCACTATTTTTTGGACGGCCGAGGGTACTTAAGTAAGAGTAGATTTCAGAGCTGGTCAATTTCAGCTTTTTAGAGCTTGTCACAACACCCCTCAAAATCCAGGGATTTGATTCTGATCTCTTGTCGCTCAAGAGAAATGGTGTGCCTTACTCCGTAATCACAAAATGAAACCTTCAATTTATTTATTACCTTCAATTTGTATTATTGATAATACACCCTGTTTCTTGTTTTGTTCTCTCAGAGATGGATACAACAGAGAATCTTACAAACGCAACCCCAGATGCACTCCAAACCGAAGAGTTTACATCCGTAACCGAAATTACCCCGGGAGTAACGAATATCGTTGCAGCGTTGTTTGTTGCTCTACAGATGCCAGTTGCCCTTGGAGGAAACTTCATCGTCATTGCAAGCTTTTACACGTTTAGGGACCTGCGCACAAAGTGCAACTTTTTCATTATCTCTTTAGCAGTCAGCGATATTTTGGTTGCGTTGATCGCCATGCCTTTTTGGTTAACTCTCCAAATAACCCAGAATGTATGGATTTACGGTGACACGCTAAAACAATTTTGGGACTGCATGGACATTCTGTGCGGAACAGCGTCTATAATGAACTTGACTGCGGTCAGTTTTGACCGACAGTTGGCGATCACTTCTCCGTTTGCTTATCCTAAAATCTTGACGACACGGCGTGTTATCTGTCTTATATTCTTTGTTTGGTGTTATGCTGCAACCATTTCATGTTTGGTTCTTATTTCAAGTGATGAGCACGAATGGCCGTATCCCAATTATTTATGGTTCGTATCCGTCTTGAGTTTCTTTCTCCCTTTAGTCATTATGCTAGTTATGTACGCTCGGATTTACTTGGTAGCACGTTACCAAGCAAGGCAAATAGGAAGAAACTACGCCACAGATATCAAAGCCGCAAAAACGATTGCGGTTGTGATAGGTGGATTTGTTATCTGCTGGCTCCCGTTCTTTATAGTAGTTTTATCTTATGCAAATCGCACGAATATTCCTCTCAGTTTCCTAAACGTAGTCAAGTGGTTGGAATATTTAAATAGTTGTCTGAATCCAGTAATTTACACCTGTTTAAACCGCACTTATCGTAGCGCTTTTAAAAAATTGCTTCGTCGCTGTCGTTCGAAAATCAAGAGGGATCAAAGAGAACAGTCAAAGAGTAACACCATGTCAACCATTTCGCCCATCGTTTCGATAGGCGAAACACTAGCACCGTTAACTCTTGTGGAACGAGAATGTTTTTCCAATCCAAACGAACCCAAAAGCCCAACTGCTAGGACAAATGACGATGTCAGTGAAAACATTCCTCTGAAAGTAACTGGTCCTAGCTAAGTATGGCACTCCGGCTGACGGTGCAAGCCTGAATCGGCCCTTTCATCCAAACTAAACACGAAAGAGTGACATATAAACGAACTAATGGCAAATATGAAAATATGACATACTAGAGAATACAGCTTTGGCTCTCAAGGACTGTCATCCTCTCCAATTGAATTTAGAGGCCTTAAAAGTTTATTTCAATATTTGAGCAATCTTCTACTTTGATTCTGTTCAGTACTTCCTAATTATAAATGTACTCGTTGCTTTTAACGAGCGCGATTAAAAACCGAAGATGAAAGTATACACGTTATCCTAGTAATTGAGCAGTGTGTTAGGACGCTGAACGCTTCTTGTCTGCGTTGTTCTAAAGAACGCGTCATTTCGGGGAGATGGTTCATTTTCTTGTGGAAAAAAGTCAACATACAAGTGTAATTGAAGTGAATGTTTGTCTTGTACACGGTTGTACTCGTTGTGAAACAAATAATTGCATCAATAGAGACCATGACGGTAATTACTTTAGAGACTGCTAGGAATTGAGTGCTGAGATGTAGCTGAAAATTCTTTAAAAAGGTTTCTGCAATCGGTAAAGGAGATAACGAGGATATGTTTACTTTCATGTTTCTTCATCTTCGTTTTATTTCCAGTGTAATTAAATGAAGTCAGTAAAAAATAAATAAATAAATAAACAAATTTGACCCGCCTCGATTAGCATTTGCTATCCGCGGGTCAAAGGAATATCTTATGATAAGTAAGAAAATGAAAAATAAAAGTGTGAAAAGTGTGTGTGAAGTGTGACATTGTGCGTTCGGTGAAAACAACCGCGTACGATCAAAATAATAAGATAAAATGAAATTTTCACATCTTTAAGGCGCAAAAAAGTTCAAAGTCCGACCAAACAGTTTAAGGAATTGTTCAGTCTGTGTCCGAATCACTTTCGATGAAATGAAATCGTCGTTTGCGAGGTTTATTAGGCGAGGCCTTGTTGTTGAGGTTGAATGTGACAGTGCAGTTAGTGAAGGCATTCATCAGATTCTGCGCTTGAGAGTTCATCATGTGTGGAATTACTGCATTTGAAGCACAAGGACCAGATGAACTACCCGCCACCAGCACGGGTTTTGGTGTACTATTTCCCTTTGAGATGGCCCACGAAAGCTGTCGCTGTTCGTCTTCGTCGGCTTCATCGTAGTCATCTAAAGACTGAATATTTCTGTGACCGGTGACTTTTGCAATGGATGACCTCTCGAGATTTGCTTTCTTCATCTTGCTAACAAGCGTTTTGAGGGCACTGTGATTGGTAAACCGCTTCTCGGATGACTGAAGGGTGGTTTGGGAGATGATATTTTTCATCATGGAGTTGATTTTATTTTCTCCCATGGGCTGGACTTTGTACCAAGTTTCATCGCCAGGTCCGCTGTTGTGTTTTATCGAGAGATAAAATGGACCACTCGCCCTGAGATTGCGAGACCTACGGTCCTGCCTTCCACGGAGACCAAATTGTTGAGTAAGTAGCCACCACATTGTATGAATTAAGGACTCTGGGGTTTAACCACCGAGTTTCTCGCTCTTTCAGAGAATTTCTGCTTCCTCTTCGGATAGTTGTAGCGCTTTGTTTGGGCGCTTCCCGCGGCCAGCTAAGCGAAGCTGTTTCGCTTTCCCGTCCAGTACTTGTTTGGAGGAACTGAATTCTCTGTCGCGAATAATGGACAGTTTATAGCCTTTGTTCTTCAAGTGTCTATCAAGCGATGTAATCATTACTTTCAGACTTTCCGGTTTATAATCTTCCCCATGTTTGTTTTTGATTCGGCGTAGAATCGCTCGAGCAAACTGTTAAGCTGGGTCGGCTCGTAGTTTTCGATTTACGCGGCAATTTCCTTCTCCAAACACCACTTCTTCCAAACTGGCAACTAAAAAGCAGTGCTTTTTACCGTGTTTTCGTTATTAGAGCTGTTTTTCAGCTGCTGTATTATTGTTGTGGTAGCGGAAGAAAACCTACTTAAAACACCCGCCATTGTTTCGCTCGCAAATTTTCAGCGTGTCCAAATGTTGCGACATCCAAGGCTTGCATTTGATTGGCTATCTGTGAGTTTCTCTGATTATTGACCAATTAGAATGTATAGTTTGTTTCTTTCTTTGCACTGAATTGACCCTCTTCTGCACTAAATTAACTCTCTTCTGTACTGAATTACCTAAAAACTGCATTTATCTTGACCAATCAGACCTGGGTAATTTTTTCATGCATATTATTATCAAAAAATGGATTCAGTGCTCTTAGCACTAATGGGAAAAAGTCTCTGGGCCTCATTTTCATACAAAAACGTCGCAAAAAAAGAGTGAAATGTTTATTTCTCTATCTCAAGTTAAATACAACATTACGACAACAATTGCTTTTAACAAATTACCGGTGTGAGGATAGTTTCGTGTAGATCAGCCGACTTCAACATGTTTTAAATGACATATAAGTATAACAGTGTATCTTCAGAGGACTTCGAATCGCTCAAAATCCCATGAAAGAAGGTGCAGCACTCGGAATCTGGATGATATGCACACGATTTGAGGTATATGTTTGTAGTTAAGTCGAGTTGTCCTCCATGAAGGTTGATCAATTTTTTTGAAAAGATGACAACCAGAGGCGAGATTTCACTTCGGGATATTACTCATAAGGTAACTTTCTTTCAAAGCCTCGCACGTTTCATTTGTTTGAAACGTTTGTTGTTGAGAACATTAGATGTATACATCACCAAATTATGCAACATCTGATTTTTGAGCTTCGTTCGCGAATTGCTCCTTTAAAAAGTAGAGGCAGGCCCGCAGAGATTTTTACATATTTAAAAACTAGAATACCATAACCAGTTAGGTGGGTAGTTTCAGTTCCAGAATCGTTGTACTTTTGGAGAAATTCAGATAAACGTTTTCCCTGTTTTACCCGACAAAAAAAAATGACCGAAACTGTACCGAGGTGAATAATATATTAGTGCGTTCACATTCACTCCCAGGGAAAATTAAATGAATCAAAGTAAAGACGAATGATGTTACTATGTATGGTAGAAGTGCCAATTTGTAATGTTGTATTTAGCTTGAAATAGAGAAATAAACATTGCATTCTTTTTTGCGACGTTTCTGTATGAAAATGAGGCCCCAGGCCTCAAACAAGCAGCCGTTGTTACCATGGCAACAAGAGTGCTGCACCCTTTAAAAAGGGCATTTTTGTGCTTCTCCCTGAGTGCCTAACTGCATGCAAAATTTGAAGGGGGGTTGAAAATTTTCATTTCCTAAGATGTTTGATTCGTTCAGAGACTTGTTCTTAAGATTTGAAACTAATACATGTTCAGAAAAGGTCACGTTATCGAGAAAACGATGCTTGAATATCATGTCTAAAACGAGACAAATTGTACCTGAACAAATGATTCCAGGTCTTCCTCATCATTTTCGCTCTCTGAGTGCTCTACATTCTCGTTCTGTAATGAACGACAAGAAGTTCATCCTCGTTGTCACTTGCCTAGAGATGTCAGTTTCTTCATCTTGTTTCCTAGAAACATGAGTGATGATATGTCGCATTTTATCGTTCTTTTTTCCTTTTAATGCGAGTTTTAAATGAATAAAAAAATTTTTCTACTCTTGAACATTTAAATACTAGATTTCACCTTTGCGACACAGAGTGCCCCAGCTACCATCGTTCAACCGGTTTTTTCGTCAATCTTGCAGATTTCCAATCCGTCCTACGCACTGAGATTCTTTACGCCTTCAATTGTAGTAAGATGAAGCAGTTGATCTTTGACTGACTGGAAGACGGTGCCTGTCTTTAAGCTTAGGGTAAACAGAGAAGGCAATGGGAGTTCCATAGTTTCTCCTAGCTGTTTAATCAACCCCGGGGCAATGTCGTTTTCAAGTTCAATGTTTTATTTTTGATCGTATTTCTCGGATTTCGATAGTACAATAACTTGGTATGTCGGTTGAGTCGTTGTCTGTGTCTTATTCAAACTAATGGTACCGGTAATTGAGCCACTAGTGTTCTAATGATCAAGGGAAAGTCAGCATTCATCATGTTGGCTTTTTCCGTGTAACTTTTCCAAGCCCCCGTCGTCGTGTTTATGGGGCACAATTGGTTTTGTTTGAGAATCCATTCTAGAGTTCGCTCTTGGATGTGAATGAACTCCTTTGACTTCAAGTATGGTAATCGCTTCCGCAGATCGCGAGCTTCAGCAACGAACTGATTGCTATTATTCTGCACCATTCCTGACAGCGCAGTTTCGTGGGATGTCCAGGATTCTGAGAGATATCTCAATTGATGACCAGGCGACTTAGATGAAACGTGGAGTCGGTGTTCGCATGGCTGCTGGCCCTGAATCCGAAGTATCCCTTCACTGCAAGTCGAACGTAAGCAACATGGCTGCGACACGTGCCACTAGACTCGCTTAATAGTAAGTTGTGGAAATGATTGTTTTGGCTCTTTTAATTTGAGGTGGCTGAACAGGATAATATCAAGCTGGAAGTAGCCGCATTTATTGACTAAATTAAACCTGATGGGGACGAGATAGTTACACTGCAGATCGAAGATACAGAAAATATATATTAGAAGAACGACAATCAACACAGAGCGAAGGGAGACTTGTCCGCTCGCCATCATAAGTTCTTGATAACTCATATGCCAGGATACGCAATGTTCACTAAGGCACAACTCACAGTGTGCCTTTGTAGACAAAATATACATGACTTTGTCTAGTTGGTTAGTTTTGAACGACGAGTGTTTTTTTCGACAACAACTAGATTATTCACTCTCGATTTCTATGAGTCGAAGTTGATTCACATCTTACCCTTCTCAGATACCACGCGCCTGAACATCGAGCTTATAACTCGGTAGCTTAATTTTTCAGGTTGGAAACATCTTTGACCAAAGAAATGTAGGCTACGTGAGTAAAGAGAAAAATGGGCTCATCAGAAATTGGATATCATGTGCTAGCTAATAGAATAAACATTTTACTCAGATCCAGTTATGACTGTGCATACTGATATCACTTTTTGCTTCGAACAATATTCTTTCGAAAGATTCGCACCATGCACCTTCACTTTCAGAGCTATTCACCGTTGCCCATCTCTACAAGAGCTCGAAGGTCCTTCGTTCTGAAAGTGTTGAGGACAGAATTCGTAGTTCCTGATGCAAACTTAGGGGCTAACTTCTCTACCTGATAGTCTTACAAAACTCACGTAAACTTGTAAACCGGAACCAAAACCAAAAATTTCCGATTTGGTTTATTCCAAGCAAATCCCCCTTATGAAGGAGATGAGAAAATAATAAGCCATCATATTACATAGCTGGCACTACCCGTGCACATGATGAAGAGAATCCTGTGTTCGGATTGGTTGCCCGAGCGAGATTGCCTGCTCTGATCCCGAGCAAGAAAAATCTTTTCGTCACAACATAAAGTTCCTATTCCTATTTTGATACCCTGTCACTTCTGTGCGATTTCATAGCTAAGGGGATCCAGGTTGTTTCCCAACAATGCAATCGAAGAGTCTCGGAAAAGCGATAGCATCTTTTGTAATTCGTCTTTCCTGAAAACCTGTGAAAACGGGATGACAATAAAAAACAAAATTAAATGAAAGACATCATCAAATTTATGCACAGATAGACTGAAGAAGGGTTAAGGTCTTCGAAAGTTAAAACCATTAAATATGTCGAGGTTAAAGAATGAAGCGAATCGCATAAGATCCCATTTCCATCATAGCTGATGAATTTTTTTTTTATAATGAAATTATTTCTGTTGATAGATGGCGATTTTAGTTAAGCAAAATGTAAAATGTTCCCAAACTAACAATGAACTGTGGGGATAGTTGATAGTATGTTAGAGAATATCGATGTCCATTGTTCTTTGTCTTAACGCAATCTGTTTTGGCATGAACAGCTGAGAAAAAAAGATGATACCTCATACAATCTGTATTGTTCGGAGGATATAACATCAGCGAGCTGTAAACACTGCAAAATAATAATAATTCATAAGTTGCCCGCAAGACCACTGAATGTCTTCAAATAAGAAATGACAAAGAAAGTACCTGCTTGTACTGTTCTGTTGAGTACAGAACATTATGAAGAAGATAACAAGTTAGTGGAAGACAAAGCTGTCTCAACAACTCAAGTTGATGAGAGCGTTGCGAGTCTTCTTCTTCATCCTGAAAAAAAAAAAAATTATGGTGCTATTATTTTTTCCTTTATTTTTCATATTCAAGCCCTGACACCTGACACACCAGAAAGCCCAAGCTAATTAAAAGGATTATCATTCCTCTGTGGAAGCGACGCCAAATTGAAAATAACTTTCGAAAAAAATATCCAGAGCATATACCATGAACAAGTAGAGATCACAAACACAAAATGGAGTGCGTCCTCTTCTGAACTGCAGGCTACCAGAGACACTCCTAAGTTGAGCAAAGTTATGGATAAGGCTCACCAATAAGATGAAGCCGTTAAAAAAGTTTCCATTAATCCTCTCTAAATCATTTCTTTTTAATTTTGAGAGACGCATATCACAGCAAAGCTTATGTTACGTAGGGCCAGATTTTCTATTATTTATAACTTTAAATCCACACTCTTTGATAGATGGATACTACAACAAATTTTCGTGCGTTCTCGTAAAAATAGTTTCAAAAGAAAGTCTAATCACTTCTCAAAAATGTTTGATCATTTTTATGATACACTGGGTTACCATAACAACATTATGGCCTCTCAGAAACAAACTTGATCTCAATTTTTTTGGGGCTTGAAACTCAAAACGAAGTTCCTTTAGCTGCGTTTTCTATTAGATGAATATTCATCTTTAGTTAACTTGTTTAATAACATAGCGCGCGCCGCGCAAGGCCTACTTATTTCCTAGGAGTTACCATGGTAAAAAATAAACCTTATGTACCGCACGGCCGTGTTCCATCGCATGACGTGTGCAATTTCACTTGGGCTGAAAGTTCCCCTCGAGTTTAACCGAGTGTTTTTAAAGCTTTCAAGATTGTTTTTCCGTTCTAACCCGACAGAGGGAGA